TGGGAGGTAACATTATTTTTAAGATGGACATTCAAAAATTTTATGATATTTTTTTTGGAAGTTCCTAAAGCTAGGGGTTTTAATCAGGCTTCTTGTAATCTTATCAAGAGGATTATGGAGAATAATTACTATTCCCTTTTAATTACTGGTAAGAAATGTGGCTTTTTCTAATCCTATAATGGGATTAAGCAAGGTGATCAACTTTCCCCTTATATTTTCATTTTGGTACTTAATTACCTTTTTAGACCTCTTAATATGATCTTCTATAACCATCCTAGCATGTATTTTGTCGATAAAGGGTATTATGATTTGTCTCATCTTGCTTATGCTGATGATCTTATTATTCTCACTAATGCCCACAATGGTTTTATTAAAAGGATTTGGCAAGGTTTGGAGGATTTTCAAGCTACCTCTGGTTTATCGTTTAAAATTAATTAGATCCATTTATATTGTACTAAATGGATTATGGCTAAGAAGAAGAATTGTATTCAAGCTTTTACTGGATGTAATAAAGGGATATTCCTATTAATTATTTGGGCTTCAATCTTAAGAAACGAAGGAGGAAGAAGCATTTTTTTGAGAATATTATTGATAAAGTCAATAAGAGGTTGCTTTCTTGGGATTATCTGTTATTATCATTTGGTTTCAAGGTTACCTTATAAAAAATGTGCTCACTTTTATTCCTCTCTATAATTTAAAAATGCCTACTAATCTTTGCATGAAGTTAGAAAAGAATTTTAATAGATTTCTTTGGGCTGATAAGGATCGATAAGGATCATAAAATTTAAGGATCATAAAATTTATTTAATGAGGCGGTCTAAAATGTGTAAACCTACCATATTTGGTGGTTTAGATTTTAGATCCTTATCTGATTAAATGAAAATCAAGTTTTTGAAGCTTTCGGTGCATTTCAGAAATGGTTTATCTCCTTGGGCCCATATGATGACAAATAAATCTTGCAATAATGTTCATCCTTTGGCTATTTCTAGTAATCCTATTGATTCTTATGTTTGGAAGGAGACGTTAAAGGTTTCTAAACATGCATAAAATTTTATTTGTTGGGACATTGGTGAAGGTTCTTGTAGCTTATGGTATTATAATTGGCTGTGTGATGGCTCTTTGACTGATACCTATGAGGGTCCTTTTGAGATTAACATGAAAGTTTATGATATATGGTATAATCTTACTGGGGATATTTTGAAATTGAATGTTTTGGTGAATAAAGCAGATGCTCTTACTCTCTCAAATATTCCTAATGATATTGGTAGGAATTAGATTAAAGTGAAAAATATTATGGAGAAATCTATTTTTAACACCTTTGCCAATTCTTTTAGCACTCTAGAGGTTTGGACTTACAATGGGTTAGAGTTCTTTTGTGAAACCTTCACAATCTTTTTTTCTTTTGGAGGCTCCATCATAGGACTGTTCTTATTGATAGTATTTTTAAGTTGAAAGGGATTAAATTGGCTTCCAAATTCTCTCTTTATAATTCTCAGGAAGAGGAGATCAAACATTTATTTTGCAACTTGCCTTTTGTTAAGGGTTTATGGATTATGGTCCTTTCCTTTTTGGATACAAAGTTGAATTGGAATTATGTATTATCTATTAATGATCTGATTAACTTTTTGAGAAGTAAGGGTGGTCTGTTTTATGCTTTTATCTCGACTCTTGTTCCTTTATTTCCTTGAACTGCTAGAAAGATGTCAAGCATATAAATAAGAGGATTTCTAAACTTTATTGTTTTAATTACATGAGATGTTATATTGGTAAAATGTTTAGATTTGAAAATTTAAGTATCCTTTTAATAAGAAGCTCTTGAATCTGTTTCAATTGTTTAAAGTGTCATTTTCTCGGAAGGTGAACATGCAGGTTATTTTTATAGTTTTAAATAAACCAAACAAAAGTTTTGTTAAATATGATATTGATGGTAGCTAGAAGAGGTCTTTGGCTAACAATGGGTTAGCTGGGTGTCGGCACTATTTTTGGTGTGAGGTTTGCCCGTAAGAAGCTGTCGGTCATCGGAATTGAAATCCCGTTGCCCGCTTCGGAAGGATGTTTTTCTTTTTTTTTTTTAAATTTAGTTTTGAAAAAGATGAAGTCAAACTGACCCCATAATTTTCATAGTTTAAATGAAAGAGCGCTTTACCTCAAATCCTTTATCTATCCCGAAGGATGAACACAAGAATTGAGGGTGAGGTTCGATCAAATAAACTAAAGAAAGTTATGACATCC